TTCTGAATTTACAATGTCAAATGAACTAAATAAATACATGCTTTCTGGATTTATTTTCCTTGATATTTTTTCAATGCGATAGTATTAGCACTAGTACGGTACCCTTTTTCCCTTTGTTTGCTATATTCGCATGTCTAACAGTTTACAAATCCCTGATTCGATTCTTTTATCGGATCGAAGTTTGATTTACCGTTCCAAAACTTTTCTAATTAATTTCCTTATATTCTTGTAGCAATGTTGATGTTGCTGGATAACACTTGATGAATTTAAATTGCTTTTGGGGTAAGCGATTTAACCATTGCTAGTGTAAATTTATTATATTATTTCATCAATAGTTATTCATCGTCTTTTCAAATCTTTTACTTACAGGTTTTGAAGATTGAAGCTACAAGTCAAGATGAAAGTTTAGAAGAAACACAACTTCATTATTATTTTGCTAGGAATGTTATGTAAAACATGATATCATAGCCTAGCTCAGGATGTTAGCTATGTTTTTTTTGTTAAGGTATTGAGCAAATATTGAAACTATATAACATCATGGGATGTTAACTCTTTAATTAATAGCTTTTTTATATAGCAATTTGACATTTATTGATAAGAATAACTTTTTTGTGACGTCAAGCTTTAGGATTGCTTATGGGTAATAAAAGACCAGAAATTAGTTAACGACCGAAAAATATATATTTTTCGTCTATTAGGGAGGAGAATGTTGGTCGCTAAAACATCTTAACGTCGGGCAAATATATATTATCCATAATATCTTTATTATCTATTAGGGAGGAGAAGGCTGGTCCCTACAAATTTTTAACGATGGGAAAATATATATTTTTCATAATATATTAACCACTTACTGGGACAAGATATGTGGTCTCTAAATGTATTTAGCGACTAGATATTTTGTCCGTCGCAAACAACAATCAACGACCGGGTTTTTGAACCCGTCGTTATTGACCTTTTGCGTCGGAAGCTATTACGACGGATGGCGACCAGTTTTTTTCCGTCGTAATTGCTCTATTAGGACCACAATTAGATCTTTAGGGACCAGATTTCTCTTCCTTAAAGGCCGTTTTTCGTGTAGTGCAGACTACCAAATAAACCTGTGCAATTCTACTATATACAGCGGAAAAGAAGTACAGAAAGATACAGTCATATACGGTCAAGTATGGGAGGGGGAAAACATGCTGCAGGGAAACATCGAATAGTAACAGAAGAGCAACAAATAAATATGAGGATCACCACAGTTCAATTGAAAATAGGAAGGGGAAATCATGTTGCGGGGTACAATAAGTATCAATAGGAAACCAGCAATTTAGTGTAGAGAAACCGTAACACAGCTATCAATAGAAATTAGGAAATCAAAGACAAGTGCACGGCATCACCCTTCGTGCTTTTACTCTCTCTCACCAAAACAATACACGGCATCACCCTTCATGCTTTATGCTCTTCCTCACCCAAACAACACTCACAAGGCAAATAGGGTAAGGGAATCTATAACCTCGAAACAAAAGCAAGTAACAACAGAAAATCGGTAAATAAACATAAAGGACAACATGACTCAATTATCAGCAAGGATCAGGGAAATCAAGGACAAGTGCACGGCATCACCCTTCGTGCTTTTACTCTCGTCCTCACCATAAGAATCAATATAATAGGCACGGAATGGTACATCGTGCGGCACGTTATCACCCTTCGTGCTTTACACTCTTTCCTCACCATGAAATCAATATAATAGGCACGGAATCGTACATCGTGCGGCACGGCATCACCCTTCGTGCTTTACACTCTTTCCTCACAAAACGGCATCACCCTTCGTGCTTTAACTCTCTTCCTCACCCAAACAACAATCACAAACAATGGGGTAAGGGAATAAATAAAATTGCAATAAAGATCCCGGCAAGGGAGAAACAATTCAACAATAAATCCCGGCAAGGGAACAACATTAGTAATATCAACATCCCGGTAAGGGAGATAACCAATAAATCAACAATAGCCCGGCAAGGGTGTCAACATAATAACTTCCTTTCTTTCTCACTTTTACTTCACAATTCACTTTATAACTCGAGCCAATGCTCTAGAGATTCAATTATCACTTACATTTTCACAATTCGTTGCACAACTTGAGCCAACACTCCTTAAATGTTCATAGGTCACAATTCCTTCCACAAACTTTACACAACATATAGAAACCATCACCAAGACAAGAAAGATACAACGAAGTCATGAAAATCACAGTATAAGACCCACGGACATGCTAGACACCAACGTATAGATACTCGTCACAATGTCTATACGTCGTACTCAACAATTACCACATAGCAAATAGGACTCAACTCCTAATCCCTCAAGCTACGGTTATACCAAACACTTACCTCGAACTTCCATGGTCAACTCAAGCCTCAAACACCGCTTTCCCTTTTGAATTTAGCTGCAAATAAATTGTATCTAGACATAATCGACTTAATAACATCAATAAATGCTAATCAATCCAATTCTAATGCTTAATTAAAGCTTTCTAATCATTCTTCCCAAAAACCCAAAAATCGACCCGGGGCACGCTTGGTCAAAACATGAGGTTCGGACCAAAATCAAATCACCCATTCACCCACGAACCCAAATATATAATTATTTCCAGAATTTGACCCCAAAACGAGGTCTAAATCACAATTAATCAAAAAGCCCTAGTTCTACCCAAATCCCTAATTTTTTACCCTTATTCACATGATTTAAGCCTAGAAATCTAGTGGGTGTTAATGGAGAATGAAGAAAATGAGCTAAAGATTACATACCCAAGAGATTAAGGTGAAGAATTGTTTCAAAAATCGCCTAAGAGCTTTGGAGAAGAAGGGGTTTGTGAAATTTTTATAAAATCCCGTAATGGGTTATGTTTTGGCTTTTAAAAATCACTGGGCGAAAATGCCCTTCGCAATCGCGACAGATCCTTCGCGTTCGCGATGGGTCAGGCTGGTTAAGCCTTCACGTTCGCGTAAACGGGCTCGCGTATGCGGAGCTTTGGCTTCTCAAGCCTACGCGTTCGCGTACCAGTGGTCGCGTTCGCGATGAACAAAATGTGACCCCTCCCCTCAACCTTACGCGTTCGCGAGTGGAGGGACGCGTTCGCGAAGGGTCTTCCCCCCCAGCTTCGCGTTCGCGTCTCAACCTTCGCGTTTGCGAAGAAGAAAATGGGCTCCTGGGATTTTTGCCTTACGCGTTCGCGAGTGGTTCCATGCGAACGCGAAGGGTAAAATCCCTGGGCAATAACAGCAGAAATCTGCAACTTTTTCTCAAGTCAAAAACCTCCCGAAACACATCGGAAACACACCCGAGCCCTCGGGGCTCCTAACCAAACATAGGTACTAACTCAACAACATCATACGAACTTATCCGTGCGATCAAATCGCCAAAATAACCTCAATAACAATGAATCAAACCTCAAAATCAAGAAATCTCTCTCAAACTTCATCAAGTATCAAATTTAGCAATTTAGGTCCGGATCACGTCACACGACGTCCGTTTTTCACTAAATTTTACAAAAACGTCTTAAATGATATATAAGACCTGTATCGGGTGCCGGAACCAAAATATGGGCCGATACTAACATGTTCTAATCAAATTTCATTTCAAATTTCCTTAAACAATTTTAGAAAACAATTTCCTTCAAAAATTCATTTCTCGGGCTTGGGACCTCGGAATTCGATTCCGGGCATACGCCCAGATTCCATATTTTCCTACGGACCCTCCGGGACCATCAAATCACGGGTCCGGGTCCGTTTATCCAAAACGTTGACCGAAGTCAAATTAATTCATTTATAGTCAAAACTTATCATTTTTCACAGATTTTCACATTTAGGCTTTCCGGCTACGCGCCCGGACTGTGCACGCAAATCGAGGTAATGCTAAATGAGGTTTTCAGGGCCTCGAAAACACAGAATGTAGTTTAAAAACAAGTGATGACCTTTTGGGTCATCACATTCTCCACCTCTAAAACAACTGTTCGTCCTCGAACAGACATAAGAAGGAAGTACCTGAGTCGGGAAAAAGATGGGGATAACGGCTCCGCATATCGGACTCGGACTCCTAGGTCGATGCCTCAAGAGGCTGACCCCTCCATTGAACACGAACAGAAGAAAACTCTTCGA